CACACACACACACACACACACACACACACACACACACACACACACACCAGTCTGTTTCAACAGCCTGTCTGTGCTCCATTGATCTGGGAAAAACAGAGAACACAGATGGAATCAACTCAAAGGTACATGGGCAGATTTATTTTGAACCCTTAACCACCATTCACTTTTTCTAAACAGACAGAAAGGCAACATTCACAAAGATGATAATCCAAGCTCTCTTGCTTTGACTATTCAAGTCATTGAGACAGAAAATCATTTATTTGTTTATAGGTAAATATGTTTAATTTGTCACAAAATGTTGTTTCCCTAGATTGCATCAGAGCAATGAAGTTAGAGATTAACATTTATTAACCCCCTTTCCCGAATGTTTCAAGCATCTGTGACAGAAGAGAGTTTGCAGAGCAAGTTCAGTGGGCCTCATGTGTAATTCTGAAGTCACAAGAAGAGTGGCCTTTGTGCCGTGAATAGAATGAGCTTTTATTTGGAGACTGGTGCCTGCGTTTCAGCATGGTCTGGTTCAGTTCTCCTTGGTCCTTCCATTTCTGCTTACAGCTGTTCTGCTCTTCAGTCTAATGCTCGCGTCTGAGCTGTAAGTCCTCTGCTTTCAGGGTTTTTGGCAGTGAAGAATGAAACATTGTGGAAATCTTCCTGTTTCACTGGGACAGTTATTATCCAAAGCAGACCAGCACAACTTTATCCATCCATCCCTTAGACTTAGGCTTCCTAAACATTTTCCTCTCACGGCCCTTTTGCCTGAGCAATTTTTATAGAACCCTGGGAAGGTATATAAGCAGGTAACAAAACATTTGCAAAACAATTCTTTGGTATAAATAAATCTCACCATTTAAAAAAGAGAAATAAATTTGTATGCTAACAAGGTGTGCATGCTTGTTAATTTTTACATAAAGAATTAAATCTTGGCTCAATATCTGATAATGTAAGACATGGAACAACTTCAATGTTTTTCAGAGTTGATGCATGTTTTTTATTTTATTGTTGTTAATGCTGAGAACACTGATTCACATAAATACATAGTATAAAATTAGGAAAGGTATATTTCCTTTTAAAAGTCATTTCAGAAACTGTTGGCAATTCTATCTAACCACTAAGCCAACATTCATCCAATGATTTTATTTTATTTTTTTTTAAAAGAAACTCAAGTTGGCAGCTCAAAGAACAATTTTTAGAATCAAATATTTAAAAACAATCCAATCCAAAGACACACTAACTAATTACGTACTGGGTAATCGTGATAGGAAAATATTAAAAAGTATTTGCTTTCTGTAATCAAGTTTTTATCTTTCTGAAGAACAAAGGAGTTTGTATGGATGGTAGGAACACAGCAACTCATCCAATAGTTTGGAATGTGAGCTGCCTTTCAGGCAACCATGGCCTTGGGTGCTGTGATGATAGGCATACTACAGCATGTACACGTGTGTTCGGAACTAACGGTACGGTGACATCATACAAGATGACATGACATGAGCAAACGCAGCCGGAAACACCATGGATCCGGTGCACGTTTGATTTTAATTAACTCTTGGCCACTGTGTACCCACAAACCTTTTATTGTTACCAAATTTTTTGTCACCCAAACTTTGCCCATTCATTTATGTAGGGGTTGGGAGAGGGGGGGTTATGACCCACAACGTAAGAAGCACATTAGCCGATTGGCTGTGGAAACCAGAGTCAATATCAAGTTCCTAGACAGCACAAGGCGCATAGTCTTTGCCGAGGGCTTTGTTCAATGGTTCCTCCTTGGCTGCTCTGAGCGAGGCCTTTCATTGGTTATAGAAGGTAATCAATGATGCAGGGACGAGATCCATTGGCGGTAGTCAACACTCCTTTCCCAAGAGGCCTATTAACCAGTTCTGGTTTTGGAATTAGAGCAGAACTTCAAAGCTCTGTGCTTTTGTGATGGTAGCAGCTACCCTCTCTGGGACCTCAGGGGCAGGGAGCCTCACAGGAGACCGGAGGGTACCTCATTCCTCTCACTGTTAATATTTTAAAAAGGGTATATATGCAAATTATGTGTCTATATGTGGGTGTGTGCACATACTTTGGAGGGCAAAGGGGTTGGATTCGGGAATTGGAGTTCCGGGTGGGTGTGAGTTTGGAACTGAACTCAAATCCTCTGAATGAGCAGTACACACTTTAGACCGCCTTCACCAGCTCCCCTTTTCCCCAACACTTGAAAGCATTTTTATTAATCATGTCATACACAGAGTACGATTATTGGAAATACCAAATAAGGCAAAATTCTGACTAGCCAACCTGTCACCACCCCTCCCCTCTCTGCAGAAGAAATCACTGTGGAAGGTTTTCAGTGCTATTTGCAGATTGGAAGGATCAAGGGGAAAAGGGAATATTCTAGAGAGGAAAACGTTTCTCCTCAGTACAATGACTGGCCCTGGTTAATTTGGTTTAGAGTTGTTTCTAGCAGTTCTGCCCAGCCTGCTTTGTTCATAGGGCAATCAGAGGATTGAACACTCCTTCCCCTGAGTAGCTAAGGTGCCTGTGACATTTAGAACCTTCTTTTTAAAGGGAAAAGATAATTTTGGGTGATGTCTTCTCAGCTTCCAGCCTCCCCCTTTCTAGCGTATGGAGAGGGGTCAGATTAAAAGTTTAGAGAGCAGCAAGGCAGGGAGCAGTCTAGGGAAGCAATGCTTCCATTCAGTATGATCCGCACCACTTCCTTGTAAGAAGGTAAGAGAGGCCAGTGTACTTCGAAATATCATTTCATTTCTGCAGTAAAGATGCAGGAAGTTGATTAAATAAACATAACAAAAGGTTCTTTGCACAATGAGCTTTCCTGGAATGCTTAGGCTATTGATATTATCGATGCAAAAGAGAAAATACTGTGCAATTGGTTTCTTGATTCCTCTCTTTTCAGGCCTGATGTGGGCTATCAAGTTGTAACAGACAAAGGCTTCACTTTCTCACCAGTAGATGAAGCTTTTGTTTGTCAAAAGAAGAACCATTTCCAGATAACCGTTCACATCCAAGTCTGGGGAAGTCCGAAGTTTGTTAAAACCCAAATGGGCCTAAAGCCAATAGAAACTTTTTACTTGAAAGCCTTTGGAATTAAGGTAAACCTTTTTATTCATTCAATTTACTTTATTCGGTATTTCTTATCCTGTCAATATTCCGTTATGAAAGCCCGTGGTGCTAAGGACCTCATGGAAAAGCTGATACAGTTGTCTGTTCTGAGGATGCATAATATTACGGGCTACGATATCAGAAATGTCATTGCTGTCTTCTGTAGTTCTTAACAACACTTCACAAACATTTGTGTACATCCAGGTGTGCCTGAGGGTAAGCGCCAAGAGAGGATTGTCATTGCCCCTTTGCATTTTAGAAAAACTGTGCCAGTGTGAAGACCCATACGCTGTATATCAGAGCACTGAGCTGGCACTGTTCACAGAAAAGGGTGTGTAGAGCTGTGGATTAAAACCACCCCCATGTATTTCTTAGACACCAAGTCATGGTCTTCATAGTAGAGCTTAAGCTACGCCAGAACAGGAGTGTGCATATGTGTTCGCATGTGTGTGTGCGCACGTGCGTGCGTGTGTGTGTGTGTGTGTGTGTGTGTGTGTGTGTGTGCGCTTGCACTCAACATGTATGTGTTTGTTAGGAGGGATCAAATTGATAGCCTTGTGCATACTAGGCAAGTATCCCATCACTGATCTATATCCAGGGGCTTCTTTTTGCTTTTTGTTCTGAGATGTGATTTTGCTAAGTTGCCCAAGTTGTTCTAGCATTCACTTGTTGCCTGCCTCAGTTTCCCGAGTACCTACTGCTTATAGGCCTGTACCACTAGGCCTGGTGATTTTTATTAATTTGCCACATTAAAAGTTATGCCTATCGATATTTATTAACTGTGCATATTAATGGCATTCAGTGTTTCTGTGTGTGCATCCAAGTGTAACAATCTTGTCCATTTTCAATTTTATTCTGTTTTCTTTCTTTTAGAGAGAAAACGGCAGTAGTAAGAGTATTGGCTGCTTTGTTCACTTATGTGTAATGCTTAGTGTGGTGCCCGGTGCGTAGCAGGTACTCACTAAATAGTGAGTGAATAAATGGATGGATGATTGACTGGATGGATGGATTATCCTTTGAGTTGTCTTGGTCTTGTTTGGTTTATTTTCATTCCTTTTGATTCTGGTATTCTGCTCTTTCACTAGCACACCCTGTATTTCATCATCTACTTCTGTAGGCCTCTCTCTTTAGTCATCAGCGGCACACTGCTGATAAGCAGCACCCACTGGCTAGTCTAAGGTGCCGTTTTCAGAATTCAGACCTCTCACCCAGAGCCTGGCAAAGGTTTTAAGTATCTGAACATTTTCGACTAATGGACATTATTTTTAGTAAGTCGAGCAATCTGTTAAGTAGTTGGCTTACTTTTTTCTTTTTCCATACAGGTAGAAGCCGTCAACCAAGTGATTGCTATCGAGCAGTCCCAAGCAGATAGAAGCAAAAGGACTTTCGATCCTGTCAAGTAAGAATTTCTTTTCTGAGTGTCTTGGTGAAAGTTTAAGAAAGATGAGTGATATAATTTATTTTTCTTTTCTAAAAAAGATTTATTTATTTATTATGTGTACAGTCTTCTGCCTGCATGTATGTCTGCCCACCTAGAAGACAGCACTGGATCTCATTATAGACGGTTGTGAGCCACCATGTGGTTGCTGGGAATTGAACCCAGGGCCTCTAGGAAGAACAACCAGTCCTCTTAATCTCTGAGCCATCTTTCCAGCCCAGTTTATTTTTCTTATTTACAACAAAACCCAAAATAGGTCTAAATCAGTAAGAGGATGCTAGGATTATAAACATATGTTTGTTAACAAAAATCAAGCTTCGAGATCATTGCAAAAAAATCTTTATGAAAATGTCCATTTAAAAGCCTACCATTCTTCTTATGAGCTTTGATAACCAATGAACTTACTAACAATTTTATTCCTTTAGATAGAGGATGGCTAGATCTTTTAATTTAAATTACCACAATTTTGGTTGAATTAACCTCAAGGTCTCCTTCCTATGTGTGTATACAATTCATTTCCCTGTGTACTTCATGGTTTTCTTGACGGATGCCTGCCTGAGAGCCTGAGCTCATGGAAGTATCCACAGCAGTCATGAGGGAACGAGTTAGGGTTCTCTCTTTAGAATGGCATGAGGTGGTCTCTGTTTCTTGGCTTATTTGGCCCCAGGATGCAGTTCAGGTAGCTTAAGCCAACTTCAGACCAGCCCATCTGGGGCAGGGTAGTCACCCAGCCTGGACAGAGCCACTCTTACAAACTGCTGTGGAGTCCAGGCACATGAGTTAGCAGTGAGCTGGCTCGTGCGGGTCTCCCTTACTTGGGGAGGTTACTGAAGGATGCTGCCTCCTGTTGCTAGGGTATGGGTCACCTACGTGAAGGAAAAGCCTGAGAATTGAGGGAGAAAAGAAAGAAGTCATTTGTGAGGAAGGGCTGCTAGAGCAACGGTGTGGAGTCCAGGAGGGCATCTTTTTTCCCTGCTGTGGAGGCAACAGGAACCATTTGGGATGTGTTGAGTTCCTGGTCCTTGGGTTTGAAACCTGAAGCATAGCTTCCACTGGCAAGGAGTCATTCTGTGGCCTTCCTTGGTGGACAACCTTACCCATAACATGGATCCCTGAATAACAAACCCTAGAATAAACTGTCCTCTGCAGTGTGATAAGAACAAGGGAACCAAACATGGGGGGGGGGGGTGTTCTCAGCAGATGAGACGTGATCAAGCACTGCATTCTCTCACGTTCGTTCTCCTGAGACTCGTGTTTGTTCTAGAATTGACCTCCTGACTGACCAGGTTACCAAAGTAACGCTGGGCCGGCTCCACTTCAGCGAAACCACCGCCAACAACATGAGAAAGAAGGGGAAGCCAAATCCTGACCAGAGGTACCTGAGAACCACCGTGAACAAGAATGGCCGTACACATGACCTAGCCAGGAAGTAGCCTCCAGTGCCCCTCAGACCCTCCCGGCCACCCAGACAGCACGCTCAGCCTGCTTCCAGGATCTCCTCCCTTCTCAGACTGGGTGTATTAATGTATCTCATTTACTCCGAGTCCTTTGTTCTCCCAGCAAAGCTCACTCCTGCTCAGTCTAACTTGCTCCGTGGCTGTCTAGTTGGGTGCCCACGTGACCTGCTCATTGCTCTGGAGTTGAGGACTGACTGCATGTACCAAACCCTTGTGCTGGTCCAGAAACTCTTTCTATGCACCCCTCCCCCTGCCTTTTTTTTTTTTTTTTAAAGAAACAGAAGGAAAAAAAAAAAAGCCAGGCAGAGCAGTCTATACCTGTAATCCTAGCAGCTGGGAGTCAGAGGCAGGAGGATCTTTGAGTTCAAGGGTAGCCTGAGCCATGTAGTGAGACCTTGTCTCCAAACACAAAAGGAGAAGAAAGGGGAAAAAAGAAAAGAGAAATGACAGGAAAAGTTCTTTAATAATGTACACCTGGTTCCTCAAGGTTGGTCCCAGGGCTGGCAGAGACGGTTGCTGCCTGGGCACATTTGGAAAAACGAGTTGTCAAGCCTCACCAAGGTCTGCTGACTCAAGTGCTGGCAAGTGAGCTTAGCCAGCTCTGGCTTGAAAAACCCCTGGATGGTTCTGTGGAGGCCTCAAATTTGAGACCCACCGGTCTCAGGCCATACGCTTTGGCATTGGGTAGGACTGAGTTTAGACCCAACACTGTTATTTGCTTGCTCACGGACATTAGGTTTGTAGCTTCACCTGACTGAGATTGATTTCTGTCTATGGCCACACAACCCCATAATCCTGCTCTCCTCTATAATTCATCTCCTATACTATAAAGTGGGTATAAGAACAATACCTAAATCCAATACATTTTGGGTGATCTTAAGCAATGGAGCTGAGTGCTCAGTCGAACAAGGAGGACTCCTTTCTGAGTCCTCCTTGGCAGTTAATGACAAGAGTGGAAGCAATCATGAATATTGATTTAATTTAGTTCAAGGGGAGCATTCTCATTGTCTTGAAACTGGGAAGAGTGGGGTGTCACTGTGAGGGGGTCTGGAGTGGCTCAGGAGTTACAGTCCTATCCACAGGAGCTGCTGTGTTCGGAGGAAAACCCTATCACCCCCAGAGCCCCAGTGATCAAGAGAAAGACTGCCTCCCAGCAGGACAGAGTAGCTTCCAGTTCCCCTACACAGCTAAATCTGTGCCTCCTGGCTTCTCTTTGATCCTTTAGTTTTGGTTTTTCAAGACAGGGTTTCTCTGTGTAGCCCTGGCCGTCCTGGAACTCCCTCTGTACACCAGGCTGGCCTCAAACTCAGAGATCCACCTGCCTCTGCCTCCTGAGCGCTGGGAGCCTTTGATTCTTTTCTTAGGTTGCAACACTAGAATGAACAAGGAGGGCACGGCCTGAAAAGTCCCCCCCGCCAAAAAAAATGTATTTTGTGGGTATGAGTGTTTTTCCTGCATGTACGTATGTGAACCACAAGCATGTCTGCTGCCCGTGGTGATCAGAAGAGGGTGCTGGCCTCCCTGGGACGGTAGTTCTGGATGGCTGTAAACCGCTGTGTGGGTGCTGGGAGCCGACTCTTGTTCCCCTGTGGGAACAAGCATTCCTAAGCAATGAACCATCAGCAGCTTTCCAGCCCTGGGAAGATAAACTTCAGGATAGCTTTTGTTTTGACTTTCAAGAAACGGTCAGATCTTCGGATGGTCTCAGTGCGGGTCCACTCGAGGAAGATACTTAAGTGCCAGTAATGAGAACTGTTCTGTGAGCCACCGGAGGGAGGTTAAAGTTTCAGTCAAGGCCTGAGGACAGTGAAGGTGGAGGGCGCCTGGCAGGTCGAGGTGTTAAAGAACCAATATAAAGGGCATAACCTCTGAGTCTTCCTTCGTTGAGGCCCAGGACTCGTGGCTTATATGGTTGTAGACACAGAGACCTTGGTGGCTTGTGCTGTGTTTGTAAACAGTGCTTCAACGGTGCCCCACGGTGAGTCCACACAGGTGGGCTGAGCCCAGCCCTGGGAGCCCGCCCCAGGGAGGATTCCCGCAGGCACACCTGGGACAGCAGCAAGCCAGCCAGCCGTTCTTCCATGTCCCCGGGTGCCTTTGAAATAGGAGGGGAAGGCAGTGTAGCTGAGCTCACTGTTAATGAAATGCTGGGTGCTATTTAGTTGCACAGGTTGTGTGCCCGTTCTTTGACGTGCCCCCATCAGTCTGCTGTTTCTGAACTAGATACTTCATGCTGGTGGTTGGACTGTACGCTGCGAACCAAGACCAGTTCTACCTGTTGGCCGCCCACATCTCTGAAAGGATCATTGTACGGGTAAGCTCAGTGCTCTGGTTTTCTGGACCACACATGCTTTTCTCCCTTGCAGGAAAAAGCTTAACTGTCAGCAACATACTTGAACTGTACTATTTCCTAACTGCTGTTGTACGCAGTGATAATAGCAGAAACTGTTACGTTTTTTTCTATAGTGGGCAGTTTTGTCCTGTGAGGACACAACTGGCATCTAGTGCACAGAGAACAGAGATGCTGTGCAATGCTTTACAATCAACAGGGATGCACCCCCACCGGAAGTATTCCCTCCCCTTGGTGCCCAGAGGAACAGAGGTTTAGGAAGGACCACTGCCTCACCCACGGGAAGAGCGTGACCCATTTGCTCAATGGTTACAGCTGTGGGTAGGAGTCTCGGCAGCCATGGGGACACGAAGCTGCTAGCAGATACAGCTGTGGCTGGCTGCCACTGAGTGCTGCATGAGACAGCAGGTTCCCCAGGCACGGAAGCCTTGGGCGAGACTGCTGTTTCACTGCAGCCATACCCATGTTTACAGCTACCAACCCGAGGCCCTGGGGACACATCCGTCCATTTGTGGAAAGTAGTGTTTCTTTTTCTTTCCTTCTAGCTGTTCCGAAAGGAAGAACCCTCTGTAATTATTTCAGTCAGTTAAAAATAATAAGCCACGTACTGCAGGAAACCCTGCAGTTACCCCTAAAAATTTCACTGGAGGTGAAGCAATGACAGAAATGAAGTAAAATCCTTCAGTGAAAGCCGGCTGTTCACACACAGCCATAACCATAGGCCAATACGGCTCCTTTTAGGCAAAACCAGGCAACCATTTGCAGAGGTATCTGCCCAGGCCTCCTAGAGTCAGAGCCATGGTGAACATCTCATTCGGTATAATCTGACTTGCTTTGCTGTAATAACAAATATAATCTGAATCCCAGCCCAGAAAATAGGTGGCTCACTGTTTCAGACTTTTGTTCAGAAGGAATGAAGACAGGAATGCCATTGTTTCTACTTGGGCATAGACTAGGGGGCATGACCGGGCTGTCCTGAGCCCTGTCATTAGTGCTTGAGTCACGCACTACGCTAGTCGCCGGCATTCTCTGAATAATTCACCCGGCAACAGGGTTCCTCCTGTCTAGGCCGGCAGCGCCCTTAGCACACAGCAAGTTATGCAAGTTCACACAGCAGCCAGGAGAGGAAGGGAACCTGGCTGCCTTGTCTCTGTTAACTGGAAACTCTGATAACTGGCACACCCTCATCATGACTTGAAGATCACTAGCTCATAGGTTGAGCTTGGGGGTTTGCTAGCTGCTGAGGTTTTCATTTAGTCTAAACATGAAACACACTGAGTTGTACTCACCATAGACTAGATGTTGTGCTATTTACTCAATTTTTAACTTCTAAAGGCACCGTAGCTTGGAGACAGCAGCTTTCTCCCAGCTATTGTTTCTGGTTAAAGAGAGCAGCCTGCCGTAGCAGTATACGGGGAGACACCAACTTACCTTAAAAACAATGAGGACAGTGACACACGAACCCCCCATACTCCAAATAGCTCACTGGTACTACCTCCTTCTTGCTCCAAAACAAAACAAAAAAACCAACAACGGCAACAACAACAACAACAACAACAAAAACAGCTGTAAAAGTGGAAACTGACTTCTCAGTCCACTTAAATGGTTAAACCTGAGGGCGGGAGAGAGGGAAGGGGAGGGAGGTAAGATTCAGGTAGTTTTAGAAATGCTCACCCAGTGTTTGCTGTACCTGACACTCTAGAAGGGGCCATCTCTGTGTGGTGTGCACGTATAGATCAATCCTGCATTGTACCCAAGAGTCAAGTGTGGCCTCTAAGGCCATGGCCTGGTTCTGCCAGCTTGAGCTCCAGAATGAAAGACAAGAAGAAAAGTTCAGTAATTAAAGGCACTGCACTCGAGACCATGTGAAGGGAGGAGGGGCTGCTCTTTGAAACCCCGAATGCATCCCCCCCCCCAACCCCGGGGACTAAGAACCATTTCTCAGATGGTGGAGGTCGGTGTTTTACTATTCCTTAGAAGTGGGAGGACTGTCCCTGAGACTTGGGGTCTCTGGGGAGTGTCAGGACACCATGTTTGTCAAAATTCTTCTTGAAGGGACAGCGGTGGCCAGAGTGTGGCCATTTCCCACCTGGTTGGTCAACTCTAACAGCTTTAAAAACAAAATTCCTGAGGTGTAAATGGACGAATTTAGTGTAAGTTAAGGTTTTTGTCAATGAACAGATTTATTTCTTGTGCTTTCAGGGTGTCCTTCAGAGTTCCCTGTGTCAATGTCCGGGCTTTTCTTCAGCTCTGCTTTTTCCTGAAACACTCAATTAGAGCTAGTTTGGGATGCTGTATAGCAAGCAGGAGGGACAATTACTGACTGTTGTCTGCCTTTCAAAGACACTCTGAGATTTCCTCCCTTTGAAAAGAAACACACTATTTCTGTTTCATTCTGGGAAGAATAGAAATGTCCCCTTCCTCAAGGATTCCCGGTTTTCCCTGCACACACACTGAGGTAGAAAATCAACACCAAAGACAGTAGCATCTGTAAGACTAGTGAGGGTGAGGGATAGGAAGGGGCTATCCTGGGAACCAGGTCATTTTCACGTGCTCTTGGGAATTTCTGAACACACACCACACACACGCACACACAGTGCTTGAGTCACACTATGCTAGCCACCTGTGTTCTCTAAACAATTTAACCAGAAACAG